CAGACAGGCAGACAGGCAGACAGGCAGTAGCAGTATCCCATTAACTATCTTGACTCTTCCTCTGAGACTACAAGCCGCACTTATTGTTAGCTTTTATCCAGAAAGTCCTAATAACACGAGTAGGTAGCGTTAACAAGATAACAACAATAACCTCTGTCCCCTTTATTTGTTTATTATTATTGTTATTATCTCCTGTTTAAATGGCTCAATCACTGGCTTCCACTCTACTCGACAGGCTCATGTTAGCATGTTATGGAGCCGTGTGGTGGTAAGACTGGTTGTTGTTGAGCTGACAGAAATAGCCCATGTTATGTTCGACATGTGTGTGAAGGTTGAGGGGGGATAACCCTCACAAGTTCAGCTGTCTGTAACACGATCACGGTTGCTGCTAACTTAGTACCATGAGCCCTTAGTACTAACTTAGTCTGGTCTACTTGATGCTGGGTTGCTAATGGAGTAATGGCTGCAAAGGGGTCTTGAGAAACAGACCCAGCTGCATGTTAATGAGGTTTAATTGGTTAAAAGTAGTGCAGTGCAAAGCCACAGCTCTGCAGCAAAGAGTGGCTTCATGAAGAGAGTCTGGTGTTGATACAACTTGAGTCATTTTTGTTGGCTACAGTTTGTGGTGGTGTTGGATTGTGTTGCATTATACCGACTGGTGTTTCTGTTATACTGTCCACCCCGTTTAAAGCAGTGAGGTTAGGCTGAATAAACAGAAAAACACCTCTCTGTATAATGCAGTGTGGATCAAAAGTACATCCAAAATGACCGTACAGGTGAATCAACACCTCTAAAAAAACTCAACATTATAACCTCCATGAAGATAGTGTTTATTGCACGATGGTTGAATTAGACTGCATTGGTTTTAGCTAAGTGTATCTAATAATAAACTCGTAACTGGGAGGTGTGGTAACTTTTGGGGCTGCAAATAACTGATTGTTTTCCTTATCAATTGTTTAACTTGTAGATACTGTCTTTATATATAACTGTATGGATATAAAGGGTAGGGGTGCCCGATCCGTCTAGAGTTTTAACTGAGGAGGAGGCTGTTCTAGTGGAACACATTGAAAGGGTTAATGCACGAAGGCAGAATTAAATTAAATATGTTGGTGATTCATCCAGCCATTGTTGTACTCTCGGCCCTCCTTGGAACAGCAGTTGTTCTTGTGACTTTGCGGCTGCGTGCCTACACACGCTTCCATCGATTGTAAATCGTTTGGTTCATTTCTGAAAACTCCACCCTCATCTGGCATCCCACATCAGTAGGTTTAGATTGGGATCAAAAGGGACTCCGCGAGACAAACATCCGCTTAGAAGCAGCCAGAACTAGGCAGGCTTCTTCACCAGAGGCCCTGAGAGACCCACCCAAGACCAAGACATGACTCAAAACATACGGCAATGCAGCGCAGTTAACTGTACAGCTGCCTGTTTCTGTCAGCAGTAGAAAGTCCAGTGGTTTGACTGAAAGTTAAACCACCTTATGCACTGAAACCCCTCCCCATTAAAGTTGTGTAGTGATAAGCCCCCCCCCCCCCGATCTTGATGCATCTCCGTCTATGATTGCCAAAAGCCACGCTCATTAGATATATGGCATTTTGCTTTGTGACATAACACATTTGCTCATTTCTTTTAAAGTTATATGTCTTATAAAACTGTAAAAGCTGCAACAATTCATTGATTTAGTCAATTAACAGCTAATTAATCTGTGACTGTTTTGACGAGCCATTAAACATTAAAGCAAAAATGCCCAAAGTTCTCTGCTGTCTGTTTTCTAATGTCTCCCACTTTCTGTTTTATATCATTTAAAACTGAATGTCTTTTGGCATTTTACCGATTGATTGAATAATCGCTCGTATGCAGCCCTAGTCCATTGATGTGGTGTCAGTGGAGGTAGTCTTTGTTTCAGTCCAGATGAACTTTATAGTGAGTTTTTAAAAGCAGGATTAATCTCATTATTCTGTTTTTGTGTCAGAATTTACTGGTGAATTTATTTAGATGTTTTACAGATTGAGTAGATTAAAAACAATTTCATTATTTAACCCGAGTGTTAGATTTAGGGGTAGATTTCGCCACTGTAAAATTCCAAACACCACATATACATGGATACATGTGAAACAGATTTTTTCTCTCTCTTTTCAGGCCAATAATGTGCTCGTCCGACAAAGTGCATCAGGTACGTGTGCTCTTAAGTAGATTAGACTTTTAGTTGGATTTGAGGACCTCATCAGTTAATGCAACATCTAAGAGTCCAGTCTTCATTTTATCGCTCATGAATAAACAAGCTCTATGAGTGGATCATCTGTAGAATCAGTAATGCTTATTGAATGGCTAAGATGCCTCAGGAGCCCACAAGTGGTTAATAGTAGCTTTCAGAGAACTCCGCTCATGACTCATGTTAGATCCTCGGGAGAAGCAGTAGTTACAGCTTTTGTTGATTTTCTGTCTTCTTTCTCTCTTTTTTTTTTTCCCTTTTTTCATCCTAAGGTCTGTCCGTCTGCAGCCGGCTAGTTTACAGGAATTCTCAGCCGTAAGTGCTTTCTCCCATTCTGTTTTCTGCCTTTAATGCCCTTCTGTGACCACTTCACGTGTAGAAAGTCACAATGATGCATTGTTAGAGTAAGAGTTCTCTAAAAAAATGCAAGTAATTGTTTTGTTTTGTTTTCTTGTAGATGTGAATTTCCATCATCAGCTAATGTCTTCCACATCAGATACTTCAAGACATCTGCTGTTCACAGTACGTGTTGCAACAGTTTTCAGCGTTGCGTACTGCCATCGACTCTGCTCGGTGTTTTAACTCACGCCAACTTTTGTTTTGTTGTGCAGGGGATGAGGTAGTCACAGTCAAAACTCCTGCATTTGCAGAATCTGTTACAGAGGGGGATGTGAGGTGGGAGAAAGGTTGGTATTTAATAAACATATTGTAGATGAAATATTGTCAGTGTTTCACAGGTGTCAGTCCATATTGTATTACCAATGTGCCAAATGTTAAAACACATGCTCTTTCATTGTGTTCTAGCTGTGGGCGACTCGGTGAAAGAAGACGAGGTGGTGTGTGAAATTGAGACTGACAAGGTATAAGATAAGAAAGATCATCAACCTAAAATCATCTGTATGTTGTTTTTGTTTTGTTTGGAGTAAGAAAATGACTCAAACCTTTTTGTATTTCCAGACCTCAGTACAAGTCCCCTCTCCAGCAGCTGGTGTCATTGAGGAACTGCTGGTGCCTGATGGAGGGAAGGTTGAAGGAGGGACGCCCCTCTTCAAACTCCGGAAAGGAGGTGTGCTTAGTTGAACGTCCGTTGTCATTTTATCACTGAAATAAACAAACAGTTCTTATTCTATACGTTCTTACAGGCTAGTGTCAGTGATACCTGAGTATCACCACAGTTTAGATACTTTACCTTGTTGTACAGAAAGGCTTTTTTGTTTGTTTGTTGCCTCACATAAGCCAAAGATGAGATGTGTCAGTGTGGATTTCCTTTCAGTGCTTGGTGTTGTTTTCAGTGACTGCTGTAGTATAAGTTACATATGCTGCTGAGAACCTACTCTGATTGGTTAAAAATGAAGGAGGAGGCAAAATGTGTATTTTGTGAATCGTTGGACCCAAACTACTTTCCCTTTTTTTGTTTGTTTTTTTCTGTTACCTCAGCCGCTGCTGCCGCCAAAGCAGCCCCTCCCCCAGCTGCAGAGGCACCAGCTGCAGCCCCTCCACCGCCACCACCTCCACCTCCAGCTTCAGCCCCCACTGCCATGCCTCCAATGCCACCACCAGCTGCCCAACCAAAACCTGGTGTGTTTTCTTCTCTTGTAATATAAATCTACATGCTGCAGAAAGCATGTTTTTATCATTACTGTGCTGTATGTTTCCGAATAGGCCACCAGCACTATTTCTCGTCTCCTAATGTCACATTCTGTCTTTCTCTCTTTGTCAAGTTTCTCCTGTGAAGCCCACTGCTCCAGCACCAGCTCCTTTAACAGTAGGAGCCAGAGGAGAAAACAGGGTAACGCACACATATGCTAATGACACACTTGTTACGTTTCATTCATGTGCTTTGTTTCTTTTATTGCATTCAAATATTACAGATGGTTCACAGATGGTTTGTTCTCCTTCTGTCCAGGTGAAGATGAACCGTATGAGGCTGAGGATCGCCCAGAGGCTAAAGGAGGCTCAGAACACCTGCGCCATGTTGACCACCTTCAACGAGGTGGACATGAGGTGAGCCACAGCAGCTCCGGAAAAGATTATTACAGCTCCCTTTGTAGAATATACATTAATCTAGCTGGGATTGGATTACAAGCCTCAGTACAAAAAAGAACCAGATTAACATTTCATGGCAGAAATTGTGCACAGCAATATCACACAGTATCATCAGATAGATTTGACTATAGGGAACTTTTTTTCAACAAATCATTGGCAGAGATTCTCTAATATGTTGTCAATGTTGTTTCAGCAACATTCAGGAGATGAGGACAGTCCATAAGGATGCTTTCTTGAAGAAACACAGCGTCAAACTGGGTTTTATGTCTGCGTTTGTGAAGGCTGCAGCATACGCTCTGACTGACCAACCTGCTGTCAATGCCGGTACGACAACACAGACTTACTTTTGAACCCTCTGTTGTGTAGCAGACGTAGCCATATATTATACTTTTTATGTTTGTTTTCTTTTTCACAAACTTTCTTCCTAAAATGTTTTTTAACTGCAGTTATTGATGATACAACCAAAGAGATTGTCTACAGGGAGTACGTAGACATCAGTGTTGCTGTGGCAACTCCAAAGGTATACCTTTTGGCTCTATAAAACTACATTTATGTATAAAAACTGTTACTGCTGAATGCTGCGTAACACTGAATACACTTTAATAACACACATTTGTTTAGGGGCTTGTTGTCCCAGTGATCCGTAATGTTGAGACCATGAACTTCACTGACATCGAGAAAGCCATTAATGCATTGGGAGAAAAGGTAAACAGCTCAATCATTGCATTGTTTTCAAATCTTTAATTGAAGAGCAAGAAGATATTTGTCATCTTAGACTGCAGTGCAAGTTTGAATCAAATAAATAGTACATTTTTATTTACTTCCATCACAAAAATGATAAAATCTTGTTGTGTGCCCAAGGCTCGTAAAAACGAGCTTGCTGTTGAAGATATGGATGGAGGCACCTTCACCATCAGCAACGGAGGCGTGTTTGGATCAATGTTTGGAACGCCCATCATCAACCCCCCACAATCTGCCATCCTGGGCATGCATGGCATCTTTGAGCGACCTGTGGCCATCAATGGCAAGGTGAGAATTTGTGTGTCTGTAAATAAAGACAGCAAAAAAAATGTCTGCATTTCAAAAGAAAAAATGAACGAGTAAACAATTTAACTGCTTTCTGGTTGGGCAGGTCGAGATCCGGCCCATGATGTACGTGGCGCTGACGTACGACCACCGACTCGTTGACGGCAGAGAAGCGGTGACTTTCTTACGCAAGATCAAAGCGGTGGTGGAAGATCCAAGAGTGTTGCTTCTGGACATGTGATGTTTCTCCCACCACATTACTCTCATTTAAAGATAGCTCAGCTGCATAAAGTTCCACGTCACAAAAGAAACGCACAAATTGTACAAAATCACCTACACCGCTTCTGTTGTCTCTTTAACTGTTCAGTCAGACTGCAGCAGGACATTTAAGTCTTGTTCCAACACTCCATATGGAGCTTTTAATACGTGGTATTATCTGTAGAGTAACTTGAAGTATCTGAAAACACGGGCCTTGGATAAATCAACCAAGCTAAAAGATTGCCATCTTCTATCAGTAATTGTTTTTGCTACATTTGAATATAATAGTCACATTTACATTACATGTCTTAAACATTCGCATATACAGGCTTAAAATGTTAAAGATAACTCACTTATGGGTGTGTTGCTGTTATACACATGTGCTCCTCAGCTGAAGCAGCAACATAGCAACATATGAAGCAGCAGACAAATACTTGCTACATCCTTGGCATAGTTGTGTAATCATGAAACAAAATGACTTCTCCAGGCAACAGTTGGCTGCATGACTTTCTCCCTTGCTTGTTAGTTGGTGCTCCTGGGCCACTTTTCCCACAGCGGGGCCAAGCAGAGCTGACTCAGATTAGTTCAAGATGTTTTTAATGTTAACACAGGATTGAAAGAATTCCTCGGTTTGCTGCTAGTCATTGTTGCCATCAACAGTCTGGGAAAAGTAATCAGCGACCTGTCTGACGAGCATGTGTTCGGATCACTTATGTCCCTGCTTGACATCGTCATCCGTGTCCTGTCTTTTTATTTTAATTTGTGTTAAACCTTGCCTTGCTGTTGTTGGGCAGATTCTTTGGCCATCAAAATCTAAAAATGTTGATCAAACTGTTGTGAGCTTTTAGTAAAACTGACACATGAATTCACTGTTCATTATCAGAAACTGTACAAAACAAACCAGACACTGTTTGTTTTTTAATATACATATATAAATATATATATACACACACATACATACAGTATACATACAGTATACATACAGTATATATATATATATTGTTTATGGGCGATATGTTGGGAGTAATGTTCAAAACGCACAATTTGGCAGCAGGTTTTTATGTTGAGCTCCAATGTTGGATTTTCATTGTACTATCCTATATATAAAATACTTGTATCTATTTAAAGAAACAATTTTAAACATTAAACATCTCAAGAGTTTTATGTACTAAACTTGTCTTGCACTTTGACTTTACAAACATTGCACATAATAGCTGTATTACAATAAGTCCAACAAGTTGATACATTTTCCTTCAATTGACTAAACCATTAATCTGGAACAGCCGATAATCAATTAATCCTTTAAAAAGGGTCCAGTGTGAAGGATTAAGTGGCATCTAGCATTGTAGACTCCATCGCTTCACCCTCCCCTTCCAAGCATAAAGGAGAAACAACGATGGAGCCTGTGTTTGGTTTGTCCCTTCTGGGCTACTGTAGAAACATGGTGGTTTAACATGGCAGACTCCAAAGAAGACGACCCACAGCGTCTGTAAGATATGAAAGGCTCATTCAAGGCTAAACAAAAATCTAACCGATTCCCATATTCAGGTGATTAACTATCACTAATGAAAACATACCTATTATTGTCTCCATTTCTGCCAATAAGCCTCCTAAATGTTACACAACTGGACCTTAAGTTTACCGTTTCGGAGCAAAAAATTGGTCTGGTTCCACCCTCAAATAAGTTTTCCTGCGTTAGTTTGTCTTATATGCATCACAAAGTTTAATCTCTTTGGGTTTTGAATTGTTGTACAACAAAACAAGACATCCTGAATGTCAATAAATGAATTTAAGCTTATCTTATTTCCATGAATTGATAACAAACAGAAGGCACTTGCAGCACTGTGAGGATTATTGTGATGTTAAAAGCCAAGTGTACCACTCACTATATTCTGCACATTTCACCTTAACTTCATCTCCTAACAACAGACTTTGTCTCTTTTTTAAACGGCAAAATAAAAACAACGAGGCTGAGCCAAGGAACGTCTTCAGTGGGCAATCTTGGCTTTTACTCTTGGTGCCAAAGTCCATTTGCCTCCCGACACTATCTCTGCTGAGTTGAATTTTGCTGCCAAAAACTGATCTTCAAAGCCTCAATACCAGCCTACTGCCTCGGCATCTGAAGAAGCTCAAATAATGGGATCATCTCCTGACAAGTCTAAGGTTGGTACTCGCCTTTCTCACCCAACTTCACAGACACAGGCCAAGTGTGTGGCAGCTGATGTAGATACCCTGTCAGATATTCTGTTTTACGTTAAATAATCAGCAGGGAATGGGTCCAATGTAACTCTTTTTTCATCTGCCATAGCACCTTTACACAAATTCTGAACAACACTGTTTGAGGAAAAACACAGATTCATATATGATAATGATAAAGAACAAAAAAACCCAAAATTAAAATTACCGATGAGAATACTGGAGGTACAGAAGGGCCTGAATACAAGGCAAAACAATGATACAAGGTTCCTTTAATTTAAATTATTCTTAATTTTTATTACCGCTCAAGATTCCATTAGCGCTTTCGAGATCATGCTAATTGGCAGTGTGTGCCAGTGGGTGCATAGATATCTGAAGGGTTTGTTGGCAGGTTTTTTGTTTCGTCTTCAAAATTTGGCCAAATCTGTGAATTTCCAATTGGACTGCTCAATAAGATGTGGGTTTTAAGTCTTTGTGTCCATTCAGATGAAAGATGGCCCATTAGAAATTGGCAGCTAGCTGTTTGTTTTCATTAAGCCACATCAGAGAGATAATTTACCTAAATTATTCTGTTATTTTTTTCTATCTTTTCAAATAGCTAATTATATCAACGTTATTATATAAAGAATTGTATTTTAGTCCAACTGAAAGTGTGTTTTGAGTTTAAGGTGATGCCTTTATAAAGAACCAAAATGGTCCATTTATATTTTCATTCTCAAACACTTTAACTTTTAATTTATTAAGTACATCCTATAAAGTCTTATGAAAAGACTATTATAATATAAATATATTTAGTGGAACAGCTTAACACATTTTGTCAAATGCACAGCCCTTGTATTTATGTACAAACTAATTCCAGTTAACATCCTGTTGTGGTTCTACATTTATTAGATGATTCCATCTTTTTATGTGTACGCACCCTCATGAATGCAGTCAGGGAAAAGGGAAACATTTTAGTTACAGGTTAGAAATCTAACAGCTATCTATCGAGACTGAGTTGTCGGATCAGATAATCACAGGAAAGCATTTTGTTAAATATATATTTCCAGAGAGTGAATGAAGGGATGAAACTCTTGGGGCAACAATGGAGACGAATCTGGAGAAAGTAAAGAAGGTACAAATGATTCAAGATGGAGCAGGAAAAGAGAAACTGATTCAGAATCAGCCCAGGAGTCAGGTGATAGAGATATGTGGGCTATAAACTCGGTACAACATTGAAACCTGCTGTAAAATAACGGACATATCTTTTAAAACAGCGACTAACACTGCATAACATCTTTATTAATTTAAATTAATTTGCTGTTTAAGGGGTGTTTTACATCAGAAACACTGCTGATTTTCTATTAAACTGTTCACTTATTTGTTCAGCTTAAACTAATAAATGAATTCAATTTCATATTCCAAACATGTATCTATAACAAAGACCATATAGAGTGGAGTGAGAGTTTGAGTCGAGATTATTTTCAGAGGGAGACCTGAAGGTTCATTGTTTCATTCATTAATGGAAGACGAGACCGGCTGCAAAATATCCTGGGACCTCTCTGGCAGCCGGTTGCCGTCCCTTCAAGACAAATTTTAATTATGAGCAGGGAACTGAATGGATTTGACTACAATATTCCAGCGAGGAATGCGATAATGAAGAAGCATATCGCACTGACAGCTACTACAGCTCCTCAGAAAGTGATACTGACAGCGTTGGACTTAGCGAACCCAATGACGCTGAGGCTGACATGGAAGACGACCACCATGTTGAGGAAAAGGAGACTGTCTGGAGGAGACAAATGTATGTTTTAAACTGAAATGGGAAGTTTAACAGGGTTGCCGGTGTCCTGATGACCCAGGATACTATAGAGTCAAGCCGTTTGCACATGACTCACTAAGACAAGTGGGTGATATGGTTCCTCATGTCATTGTCTCCTCTGTGGTTACCACTGGAGCCACCTGACAGAAACGGATTGCACTGTTTAATATCGCACCTTGAGACAATTCATCAGCACACCCTTAATAATCCTACCCTGCCGGGCCTGCATAAGTAATGCTGCACATGCATATGCATTAGTGTGCCGTTTCCTTTACAGACCATTTCATTCAAAGCTAACCAATGTGGCGAAACAACTAGCTTGCATCTGGCCCTATTCTTTCCCTCCTCTCGGTCCTTTGATATGGATGCCAGCTCTCTTTTTCTTCCTCCTCTTGTTCTGTTGTCATACCGTAAGATTATTTTTGGATGGAGAGAATGAGGCAGAGGACCCTGTGGCCCAGCGGCGGACACAGCTGGCAGCGCTCAGGTGGGTGCAGCTGGTTGGTGTCAGAGGTTCAAGTATTCACACTGGACAGAATTGGGTTGAGAGAAGAACGACAGCGGAGGGAGAGAGAGAGGAAGAGGGATTCACTGAGGTCATAGGAAGCTGCTATTAGGGCATACCTGTCAGTGGTGCACAAAACCATTGGGTTTGTGATGTCAGTTCCTCCTTGTAAGTATCTATATTTTGTAAACGTGGTATTGTATGGCAAAAAAATGGAGGACCTACTGCATCTTGTCACATTGCCAGCATATAAAAAACAAACTCAAACAGACTCCAATAACTTTTATTTGAAGATATCTCCTCTGTTATCCTCATCTTAGTAGTGCCTGACGTCTCTGTATCTATGACAGCTCAGCGAACTGACTGCAACAGAGAGAGACAGCTCAAAGAGGAAGCTGGATATCACATTACTGTCTGACAGTCAACACAATTTGAATCTGATTTGGGTAAAGTGGAGTCACCAGTGTTGACAAGAAGAGAGAAAAAACATCTCCATGACAACTGAGCTCTGTGTACTGAAAACTGTGGGTTGTGTTTGAAAGCTCTAGAAAAAGCTTATAAGTGGACCTTGACTTATTTTGTCAAGCTACTTTTTTCCAATTATTTTTTAACCTGAAATCTGAATGATCCACTTGGTCGAGACACCGCTACTGTAGTGTTATAGCATAGTTTATTATATAAGTTTTGGTGACCTGACCCTAATAAAACTAATAATTTTGGTTGTTTTTTTCATGAAAAGTTGCATGTAATGATGTTTGTGTTCCTTCTTGACAGCGTATAGACATATACACACACCAGCTGAAGACTAACCTGTACATTATGTTGGCTGTGCAGGTCTTGTCAAACTTCCTGATCAACCACTCAAGCTGTCTCTGATCCAGAGGTACGTTCGCTGCCTGCAGGTAGTAATAGATATCTGAGTACGTCAGCCCAGTTAAGTAATCTTCTGATATGTCTTGTTCTTATTAATGACATGTACTAATGTATGAGGTTTCCAGTGCAATGTGCCTGACCTGTACAGCCTTCCTGAAGGCAGAAGTGGAGACATTCATGGTTGCTTCTTTATCCAAAGCCTGGAAGAAGTCCATGATGCTCTCATTTCGCTCTTCAAGGAATTTCTATGAAAGAATCCAGATCATGTTTCAAGTTTGTGAATCACATAGTTCAACAGTACACATAAAAAGAAAGAAATGATCTCTTTAGGATATGGTGGACATGTTTTTTGTAAAGTCATGAGAATAAACGTTCAATATTCAGGTATTATCCATCACCAGATCTCCCTCCCTTCCTGACCACTGACCTGAAAGATCTGAAGGGCCAATAGGTTCCTGGTGACCGAGCGTGTGATGCTGTACCGAACATTCAGAGCAGGACGCTTCTGATGGACTTTTTTCAACAGCTCCACAAAGGCCTCGCACACAAACACGGTCTGCATGCACACACACACACACACACACACACAGACACAGGCACATTTGTAGCACTGAGTCATATGTATATGAACTCATACCCATATGCTGAGGTGAAATGTGTTTTTGCTGCACTTACAGAAATATCGATCTCCGCCAATGCTGATTTCATGTTGTTGCTAACTGTTTTGAGCAGCGTCAGCGCTCCAGTACTTGACAGGGGATTATGGGAAAGCTAAACAAAAAATATACACACACCAAATCACCATTAACATAAATTAACCTACAGCTTCTTAAGAGTGCAAAAAGTTTCAAATCACCTTTATGATGACATAAAATACCAGTGCTACAGAATTGTCCCTTTTGTCACCTTGAGGACCCTGAGGGTGTCGTTGGAGGCCAGGCCCTGGCAGAGCGGTGTCACAGCCAGGTCGTCTATATGGTTACTGCTGAGGTCCAGCAGCACCAGCGTGCTGTTTTGTTTCAGTGCCTGACCCAGTGACTCTGCCTCTATGTGGCCAAAACCATTCCATGACAGGTGGAGCTGCTTCAGAGTCGAGTTTACCTCAGGAAAGGAAAATGTAAGCGACAAACAGTTATGATAGTGGACAGACCGTTAAAAAATACACTGAGGGCTTTTGCTTGAGTGTGTTATGTTAGTCACCTTCAGCCCAGCACTCAGAGCCACTGCGCCACGCATGCGAAGGTTATTCCAGCTCAGATTTAGGATTTCAATACCTACATTTGTGGCTTTGTGAAGGGGGAAACAAATTTAAAGGGTTACAATGTTTTAAACTGACACCGTTTATTTCTGCAAAGACATCAGTATATTCAGTATTGGTGGTAGTTTTGACTAGTATTTGGTCCAAATTGTACTTCTTTTCATCTGGTATCACACTTAACTTGGTGCTGCTGGAGCTATAGACTATCAAAACCAATGGAGAAAAGCACCCGCACACTCAAATCTGTGCAAGAGTCGTATTTATTTTGCTAGCGTTCAGTCAGAGACCTGCCTCGAGGCAGAACATGTGGAAAGTGGAAGCAGCGGTACACAAAGTTAAAAGAACGTCACTTGATGAGCCTTAATGCAGAACACCTGTGTCAATCAGTTGGGCTTGAGTGGCTTCATCAAGGGAATTGTAGTCCTAGGCATGATGGACTACAAGTTAAAGACTAACTATAGAGACACCAGGCAAAACATCGAACATACAAGATTCACAATATAACAGAAGAAGCAGAAACATCAAGTTTCAATCGTCATCAAACACAGCAGAAAGAGTCTATTATAGTTCATTCACAGCACAACGCTCGAGTCGAAATACTCATTAAGATCCAGTGGTTGCAATGTTCCTACGCAGTGGATCCAAAAAAGCTTTATCTGACATCTCAGATGTAAGTTGTAAACAGAGACTTAAAGCCTGGATGTCAGTCCAACAATATGCCCAAAAACAGTTTTATCATCTTTTTGAAAGAAAATATGCACAATGGCTGTTGTATTATTTCAGTTTATATTTTCTTACATGAAAAGATAAAAGAATAAACATTTAATTTGGAGATAAATCACTCTTGTAGTTTCTCCTACTACAGTCAGTAAATGAACTACTGTACCTAACATCTGACCCAGGTGTTCTCCTCCAGCACAGAACTTATTGTAACTGAGGTCCAGCTCTTGGACCACATTATCAACCTGAGGAAGGAGGAAAAGATCGGTTTTAAAGCTTAATTGCAATTCGGACTTGATTCATCTGTAAGCACATGGTCATGAAAAATGTGTCGAAGCTCAGATGCTCTTCCACCACCTGGATTCAGCAGTCAACGCATTGTACAAACCTTTAAAGCTTCAGTAAAGCACCTAGCAGCAGAATCATCAAAATCATTTCCTAAGGGAAGAAGGAGAAATTCATTTAATTACTTATCCAAAACAGAGTTTACTTGACCTCGTACCTTCCACTGTGTTGCAGTGATGCAGAGGGGAACATAAAAAGACGTAGTTGATCACCAGAGAGTTTGAGGTATTTGATGTAGTAATTGTCTAACAGCATTTTGGAGATTATGTCCGCTCCTTCAAAGCGCAGCTGGTTGTTGGACAGATTCTGAAGTGAAGACAAAAAAAAAAGCATTAGCTTATTCTAAATAGTTATTTTAAAAATGTATGTGAATGAGTTTGGAGTGCTGATACCACAGATTTAAACAGAACTGAGAACTGTATTCGACACGATAGTTTCAGAATAGTTACTAGACTCTGAATGGTGATGTTTCTTTGCAGCATCTCCATCAAATAGCGCGCCCCCTCTGCCCCGAGTCCGTTATCTTCCAGCTCAAGGTTGGTGATGACACTGTCACTCTGAAACAGGAAGAAATACACTAATAAACTAATTAAATGATTGACAGAAAATCTTGACCAGGTCCTTTTTCTTTACATCTTTGTATCCGTCTACATGAACTACATTGAAAATTTATAAAAACTACAGAATCAAGACCTCATATCAGGACATTAGTATCTTAAAAAGAGCCCTTACCTCAACCCCATCCATAACCTTACTTGTAAAAATTGAATTAATTAATCAAAGATTGTTGATTGATTGATTTATCTCGATGAATGGGATTGAAGGCCCTTACCTGCAGAACTATGGCGAGAGCTTTGGCCCCCACAGGTCCCACACCATAGTGGTTCAGGTTGAGATTGGGTTCATCCAGGTTGCGGAGGAAAGAGGAAACGGGAACGGCCCCTGTCCACTGACAGGCGTGCAGGTACAACTCGGCACGGGAATAACTCTTTCTTTGATTGGCATCTGAAAACATTTGGGACAATGCAGATAAAAAAAGGAGGAAGAGGTGAGGAGGTCGAGGACCGTCCATCAATATTATCCTCACTGTGACTTACTGTCTGTTTCCAGATCAGTGTCGTACTCATCGCCACTGTCGCCCTCCTGGACCTGGGTTGTGGGCAGGATGGACGGATCCGTTGGCTGCTGCTCCTCCTCTTGCTGCTCTTCCTCTTGCTGCTCCTCCTCTTGCTGCTCCTCCTCTTGCTGCTCCTCGCTGAGCTGGGAACCTTCACTGTCCTCCTCACACTGATCCATCACACCACAAGAAACCTCACCTGTATCTGCACAAACCCCTGAGGAGGAGACAGGTGAGGGCAGATGTTACTTCTGTAGCAGTAATAGTGAGAATAGAGTTCAGTCAACATCTTGATGGCAAATATTGTACTTTTTACTCCACTAGCTTTATCTTAAAACGAAGGTTTCTTAGCAGGTTCATATAATCGACAAATAAATTATGATGTAAGTATAACATATTAAGATAAAACCTTTTTGATCCCTGGGAGAAATCTTCAAGCTACCCAGCAGATAGAGTATATACAGTCGTTAAAATGAGTCCAACGCTTTCAACATTAAAGTGGCATTAATTCATAAATAATTGTAATACTATAATATATTTATAATATAGCTACACTATTCTAAAATGATCCTTTCTGCATTATGATGCCAATACTTTTGTACTTTTACTTAAGTAAGAATTTGATGCATGGTTTTTACAGACAGTATTTTCTATCTATTTTTTTATTCAATTAATTAATAATTAATTAATAATTATTATTTTATATAACTAATGTTGGGTTAGCGTTGGCATTTTCTCCCAGCAGATTTCAATAAGCTGACGACGGTTGGAGCAGACCAACGTCTGCAAGGAGGAAACCTTTATAGTGGACCCAAATCAAACTCATCTGGATCAGTATTGTAAATAAAACATAAAAGATTTCTGTTTGACTTGTAAAACGTACAGAAAACAGGAGCCTACCTGAGCAAAGGTTGTCACTTTATGGAGATCAAATATCAACGTTTATCGACGGGAAACCAACGGTTGTTGCTATGGTAACTTACTCATCCAAGAAAAACTCCGGTTGATGGAGGCAACAAGAGAAACAACGACGAGAAAACAAAATAAAACTGAATATGTTGAAAAGTGGTTCATTGCTGTTAGTGTTTACAGTATCTGACCACATATCGATCAGTATTTGGGTACAACATAACCTTTTCTAGTCATATCGGGTCTGCTGCAAATCGTGTAGTTCACAAAAACAGCCACTAGATGGAGCCGTTGACCGCAGACTGAGTCTCTACAACACAGGAGATTAATTCAACAACAAAAAACTAATGTTTCATTTTTGTTTTTTATCAGATGTATCATGTTAATAAGGCTCGGCTGTGACTAGAGTTGAGTGGTGTTGTAGCATTACTGTACACTGTCATGTGTTCTTATTATTTAGTCCACCGGCTGTAGTTGTCAGAGCATTACACCAGAAGTCTTGGTTTTAGCAACCCACGGAGGGGTTCATTCATTTACCTGCTTTATGGCTCATGTAAGCAAGTTTAAGAAGGAAATTTAATCTGTATTGTCAGAGTTTCACTTATATTAACTGAATATATTAATTAGACTAAAAAAAGGCAGCTTTAAAGAAAGTAATACAATGTATCTTAAGATAGGCAAAGTCACCACTAACTGGAGTGGTACGTGGTCAAGTTGGTGTTGACAGCTTTCTGTTCAGTCTGCAGATGGTGGCATACTTCTCCTGCTGAGCCCTGAACAAAGGGAGCGGCAATAATTAAGCATGAATGACCTTTTCACAGTTTTGCAAATGAAAGTAAAGCCCTGATTTTGGCAATTGGCCTCAACTGAAGAAAACATGATTGCACAACTTTTATCACTTGATAATTGTAGTGTCATGACTGGGAGGGACAAACACAAGACTTCACTGAGGGAAAACATGAGATATTGCACGTCTGATGGAGTAAAAACAAAACAAAGACGTGCCCTTTCTTGTAGTTAGAAAATAAAATTTAATCTATTCAGGGTACCAGAGTCATACATAGCAGATACAGGTCCAGAACAGACATTGAAATACTGCTCAGCTGAAAGAGATTTCTTGTTTTCACAGCTGTTTGACAGCGCAACATGACAGACACAGACTGGAAAGATTAAAAAGACAAAATCACATCAAGTGATTAAGAAGCATTTCATATATGTTTATGTATACAAAGCAGTATAAAACAATTACAATAATGGACAGACAAACAAGTCCAAAAAAAAAAGAAAAACAAGGGTGTAAACATTTCGTGTATATGTGCTTTTCATGACGCCAGCGTCACCACAAATCGGATCAACCGGTAACTGCCATCGTCGAGGCAGAGTATAGAAATCAACATTACAAAAACAAAAACTCTACTCCGTCTGGTGTACTTGTATTGAGTACTAAATACTAAAAACTCTACACCTGTATATTTTGGCTAGAATACAAAAGGAAAACTGCAGAACATTAAGCCTCTGCATTGAAACAATGCCACACAATCTACTCAGGGCTTTTGTAACAGAGCACCATATTGATATTAGTGTGTTTCCTCAGCGTTGTTTCCAGTCGTACTCTACTGTTTCCATTGGTCCCTTTATGTAGAGATGGTTGAAGTAACAACTAGGCACAGTGGGTGTCAACAACAACACTTAATGCAGAGATGAAACTGGGTATTTTCCAGTCTTCCAATGGACAGAGCCAGCTCATGTAGCAGTACTAAGGAAGCGGTACAACCTCAGGTCTTTGGGCAGAGTCTCCAAAAGGCTTCCTCTTGGAGCTCAAGTGCTTGTTTAGAAATGTATTGCCAGTTATGTTTTTCATTTAAATGGCTGCCACGGTGATGCAAGTCTGGGCTTCAGGGACTCCGCGTCCCTGGTTTCCTGGTTTCACTTGGCGTCGGGGGACAGCTGCTCCAGCAGGGGGTTGACCTCACTCTCGGGTGTTTTGACGCTGTCGGTCCTCACGATGCAGGTGGGCCGGTGGAGGTTGAGCATCACCATTAGCTGCTGCCTCTCCAGACGGAGCTCCTCGATCTGGGCCTTCAGCTCCGAGTTCACCATCTCCAGACGCTCCGATTCCTGGACAGAGATGTTGAATCATCAGATACTGCTGCACAAATGCATAGTTCAGAGCAGTTCGGAGAGGAAAAATGATCCATGACTTTTAAGTCAGGTGCAGTGAGGCTTTTATTAGTCTGACTGTGTCGGGCTGAATGGCTTAAATGTGAACCAGCTGTTCAGGTTAACTGAAGTCAAGCTATTCTTGGCTACCACCCTGAGCTGCTCATCATTATTCAATGCTGTGTCATGAACTCACCCTTTGAAGGAAGTCAGTCCGTTCCTTCTTTTTGTTTCGGCATCGCGCTGCTGCTACCTTGTTTTTCTCTCGTCTCCGTTTCCTTCGTTCCTCATCTTCATCCATCTGCAGAACACAATGCATTGTTAGTATAGGATATACAGCTTATACGGCTGTATTTTATATGAAATATCACTAAATTACATAAAACTACAACCAATAGTGTTCAGCTAGGTGTTGTGCAACCTCTACTGTAATTCTTGATGTAAGCACTAGAGGAGGCAAAATTCAGCTTACAATATTATCATCAGTTTATGCCCACACACTGCATATAAACAGTCTGTATCATGATAATCCACTAACTTGAATCCTAAAACTTAAAATGGCAGCGTCTTAAGTAATCAGCTCAGACAACTATTGATGTTAATATTTAATAGATAATGAGATCATATTTTATATACCAAGCCTGCTGTCAGGACATTTACATTTAATTCATCTTAACTGGCAGAAAAATACAAAATCATTATTAGTCATTATAAACAGCTTTCTTCCTTATTCTTTCCATCACTTTACACTATAAACATAAATCAGAACGGCTTGCGTGTGATACTGAAATTCATTTTTTGGTTCTTTACAGACAAATGTTAGAGACTGGTGTCATTTTCTAAGAAAGTGATAAAACCTGCTTAAAGGGCTTTGAAACATCCAGAATCTAGTCAAGTCAGTTTTATTTATATAGCCCAATATCACATTCCACAATCTGCCTCAAGGGGCTTTAAAATCTGTACAGCATACGACCCTCTGTGCTTAGACCCTCGATTCAAGTGGAAAAAAAACCCCACCCCAAAAACAATCCACTCTATTAACCCTACTAGTTTTTGTTCTCTGACTTAAGTACGTCTTTCACACACCCTACTTCTGCACTATTTCCTCTTTTCTCCTCTTCTCTCTTCCTCCCCACCTCTGTTTTGATGGCCAGCGGCCTCTTCCCCAGCCTCCCCAGGAAATGCAGCGGCGACAGCATGGTGCCCAGCTGGCGAAAGTCGGCCAGCTTGAGTTGATCAGTGAGTGTGGTGGCCGAGATGCCCGCCAGCGGGCCCAGGCTGGGCAGGGAACCCGCCGCCAGCGAAGGGTCAGGTATCTGTCCCGGCATCATGTCCGACCCGGCCACCACCGCCGCTACGGGGGGAGAGAGAAAAGAGGAAGAAAAGGGTTAACGATTAGGACGAGAGAACCGTGTCTGACAGTGAGAACTCAATGCGACTTTTTCAGTACATACAGTGGATAGCAAAGTGTATATAGTTCACATTTATATAGCTATGGATCATTCATTCATCGACTCGCTGGTGGTAACATGAGCCATACGTTCATACCCCTCTTCCATTATCATATCGCAGCTATCTGACACTATCATTTCTCTTTATTAAGATCTTACATCGTTGGCATTCTCTCCACAAAGTGATTAATTTGCTGTCTTCCGTCCTTGTCATCAAACATCTTTCTAAATATGGGTTGCTTTTTCCAAGAATGCATTCGAACGTTGACAGCTTTGACAGCTGTGTTATCTTCTTAGTCAGCAGCGGATGAAAAAACAAACTTCACACTGTCAGCAGCTAAACGCACATCTCTGTAGTTTCACATGCAAAGGGGAGCCATGAAACCCTTTGATCACGTAAACAGGGCTATATTCTACACTTACACTTCTGATCATCTACCAAGCGGTTTTCATCCCGAAGGTTCATTTGTTTTTTAGTCAAGAGGACTCGAAAAAAGGATATCAAAAGCAATCATGTCAAAACAGAGCGGGTAACACTCATGTGTTCCACTGCCACCCTCTTTCAACAATTTGGGGTAGTTTGGAGGAGTTGACCGCAGCACTTTGTAATGTAATCAGGGAGGAATGAGGGACAGAGAGGAGAAAAAGGAGAACTTGTGCAGGCCTTAAAGGAAGTGGCTGGAGAATTAA